TCTCGGTCAGTTTGTGAAAACTTCCGATCGGACTTCATGTTACAAAAAAAGCATTTTTTTTTTTTAATTTCTTTTTATAAATTCTAATGTTGTTTACAAAACACGCATAAAGCTATTTAATTCTAGCGTTGGGTCAAATGGGTATTTTCTAACAGCTGTTTTATCAAAATTTCAATAAGATTCAATGTGGTAATATAAATTTAAAACTTAGGTGAAAAATAAACTTAAATTGTCGACGTTTCAAGATTTTTGACTTTTGTCATTTTTCATTTTTGACTTTTTTTTTTTTACATTATTATTTTTGACATATTAAGATTTACTCGGTCGATGGTTTTTAAAGCCTGTTTACACTGAAAGTTTTTGATTTTATCGGTGACTGAAATAATTGTTTTAATATTTAAGACCGATTTTCACTGAATTTGTTTTTTAGATTTGAGCAGGGCAGCTTAGAGCTTTCATGAGGCCCGGGGCATAGCAGCAAATAGGCGCCCCTATAAAATGCATAGTTTAAAATTAAAAGCATGTACAATTATACAAATTAATGACTGTTTTGTTTTCTTCTAATAGTGTTAGTTAACATCCATTTTTTCAAGCAATGTACAGTATTGGACAAAATATTTGCAACCAACATCGAACAATGCTAAAAAGTGTTCCTAATTTTAGATATCTTAAAAACGAAACGAACTATACTACCACAGCAAACGGTTCAAGAGTCTGGAGTCATAGCATGCCATGACATGAGCAATCAGCTGAAGGTGACAGCACACAGGCAGAATTTTGTTGACAAGTGCCATTTTGCAGCGGACAAAACAAGTGCAACTTTTTTGGTTTGTTTCATTTTTTTAAGTCTGGTCCGTGTCAACGTCACGGAAGTTTTTTATTAATTAAAGAAAGTATCCAGAAGTTTCCAGAAGTTTCCAGAAGCATGCAGAAACTTCTAGAAGTTTCCAGAAGAAGCATTTGGAAGCATCCAGAAGCATCCAGAAGTATCCAGAAACATTCAGAATCATCCAGACGCATCCAGATGCTTCCAGAAGCATCAAAAAGAAGCATCTAGAATCTTCCAGAACAGGCTCACACAGGTTCATTTTACTATATAAGAGACATAAAAACCGACATGTAATTCAGTCAGTATATGGAAGTCAATCAGTCAGCATTATCAAGACAGTTTATCGAAGTGAGTTATCGAAGAACAATACAAGAAGTGAAATACAACGAGTGTTTCATTACATCAATAGAGTCCACATCCAACCAAGACGTTGTGTTCCACAGAGCATTATTGTATCATCACAAGGTAAATGTAACACGGTAAGCCTTTCAGAAGCGCGATTAATTATTTTTATTATTTTTTTGACTTCAAGGGCAAAAATGGCTCCCGACAGTCTTGGATTGGAACTAAGAAAGAAAATTATTGGCGATAACGTAAGTGGAATATCCCAAAAAAGTATTTGTGATAAATATCACGTGAAAAAATGGACCGTATCAAGACTATGTTCCAAATATCGTTCTACAGGGATGTTGGCAGCAGATAACAAAGGTAGAAGACCACGTTCCACCACTTCTAGAGAGGATCCTATGATCGTCAGATCCGTCAAGAAGGATCCCTGGATATCATCAGTCGAGATACAAAAGCAATTAGAGCTGCCTGTATCGGACCGAACAATCAGACGACGTGCTGTTGAAGGCAAATTGTTTTCTTGATACCTTGCAAAGAAACCGCTGGTTTTACTAGAGAACCAGAAGAAAATGTGCAAAAATGGCGAACTGTCCTGTTCAGTGATGAATCGAAGTTCAACATCATTGGGAGCGATGGCATTTGCCGTGTACTTCGACCGGCCGGAAAACGCCTCGATTTACCTTACTGCCATAAGACCGTGAAGCATGATGGAGGCAACGTAATAGTCTGGGGGTGTTTTTTTGCTAACGGTCTATATCCAATACATCAAAACAATGGAAAAATGGACCGTTTCATGTATAAAAATATCTTGAAAAGTGTTATATTACCTCATACTGAATGGAATATGCCAATAAAATGGATTTTTCAGCAAGATAACGATCCGAAACACACTACAAAAGTAGTCAAGCAGTGGTTTCAAGACAACCACCTATCGGTGATGGATTGGCCGCCTCAATCTCCGGATCTCAACTCTATCGAGAACTTGTGGGAGATTGTCAACCGCAGAATTAATCGTGAAGGTGTTCGTAATAAGGATCAACTGTTTGTACAAATTCAAAAGGCCTGGGCAGCGATTCCACAAAGTTTCATTGATCACTTGATCGAATCTATGTCTCGAAGATGCAAGGCTGATAGCTATTGATAGCGAAATACAGCTTGGTTAAAATTTTGTTGAGTTGCACTTGTTTTGTCCAGAAGAGAATCAATTTTTTTAAATACTTTTGATTAACTTATTAATTTTCGTGTAAAAATAATGAACTTTGTGACTAATAAAACTTGAAGAACGTTGTCTCTAAACAGTTACATAGTTATTTCTCTAAATTGAAAAAATGCAGCACTTATATAAAGAAACTAAGTTAGCATTATTTGGTTGCACTTGTTTTGTCCGATACTGTGTCTGGATTAATAAGACTTTTGCAACACATTCATTGATTAGAATTAATAAACATTCTATGAAATTAATAAAGAGTTTTTTTTCTTTTTACAAGCTAAATTAGAATTAGAATGCACATAGATAGGCTATAGACCCTTTGAGTATATTTGGTTGAGAAACCCTAAAGTGTTTCTACAAGTAAAAAAAGAAGGCTCCTTCAAACTATTAAGATGCGAAATATCTTTCATAATGTTGTCTTCTATTTTACAAGCTTTAACTTCTATAGGTTCTCGATCTTTCAACCAGAAGAATGAGAATTTGGTATGTTTATAAATGCAGTCTGGTAAGTCATTGACGAAGAACACAAACATCAGTGATGCAAAAACTGATCCTTGAGGGACGCCACTCGTCAGACATTTTTACTCAGACGTATATTTTCCAATTATTACTCCTCATAGTCCATTAGCTAGCCAACTAGAAATACAGTTTAATAGCTGGCCTCAAATGTTATAGGCATCAATTTTATAAAGAAGTTGTTGTATGGCATTATATTGAATGCTTTGGTAAAGTAACTTAAAAATATGTCTACTAGGTAAACCATTGTGATATAAAAATACATTTTGAGACTTGATATTAAATTGTGTACAGTGTTTTATAATCCAATCTAAAATCATTCTCTCCATCGACAAGCATTGTATAGGTGACACCAGTGCCGCACAGAGCAATTTGGGGGCCCTAGGCAGACATGGATGTGGAGGCCCCCCGCCCCCACATATATTTATTTTTCTTCAATTTTTAAGTAATTTTTATTATTAATATTTATACAGGAAATCATGACAAAATTGATGTAAGTAGTGTATATTTCACTACAATCCCTTTTCAACACCATAATGAACTTTATACATTATTGCAGAGCTACTTTTTGTGCTTTAACTACAGCAAACTCATTGATTATCTCATCATACTTCAGGTTAGTACTTTTTTCATGTTCAATGCTCAATAACGCCAAGCCATTCACTCTTTCTTAAAGCATTGTAGACCTCAGATATGCTTCAATTAGTTTTATCTTAGAGAATGATCTTTCTTCAGAAGCCACTGTGACTGGAATTGTAAGTAGAATGCGAAGGGAGATGCACAGATATGGATACATCTCAGTTAAAGAATGTTGTGCAACATTCTGCAGAATTTCAGCTGGTGATGTTACTTTGCTTGGCAGTATGTTTGTGGCATCGGATATTTCAAAGCAAAGTGACTGACTGTCAATATTACTTCTTCCATCTCTTTCCAGCTTGGTTTGAAGTTTGTCACAATGTTCTTTTAACTTCAGGTTTGAGAGTACCTTAATATTAAAAAGGAATCCAAATGTGTTAGGGAACTTTTTTAGTTCAGGAAATTGCCTGTCCAATCCATTGATTGCAATGTCAATTGTTTTATTGAAAAAAGTGAACTTTATTTTTTGAAAGGAAGTCAACACAGTTTCGTGGTTTCTTGGTCTTCCACGGGGCTCATATAGCACTGCTTTAATTTATTTTACAGTTATGAGCAATTTCTTCTGCAGTAATCACGATTTTGCAGTAATCACGACAAAATTAGTCCGAAGTAACTTTAATTCTTTTTTTGCAATTATTCAGATATTTCAGAGCCAGCTGAAGATTCATTTTTTTTAACTGCAAGTATTTACTTGCAATGTTAATCTGTGAAAGTAACTCATACCAAACAACTGTTTTGATTATGAATGCAAAAGATGAGAACTCATTTGAAAGTGACACAAGTTCAGCATATGACAATGAATCATTTGCCAAGTCCTTTAGCTCTTCAAGTGCCTTCAATACTCCAGGCAAATTATTTCTTATTACTTTGACACAGTCTATTTGAGACTCCCAATGGGTTTTACTCCATTTCTTTACTGTGACACCAGCACAGTCTTCCATGACTTTCCATCTTTGTGGTGATGCAGAAAAGAATGCGTAGAGACGTTGAGGACATCCAAAATACAATTTTGTTGCTGAATTGCATTTGACAGCATCACAAATGTTGAGATTCAGCAAATGAGCCCCACATGGTGAGAATTAGCCAATGGATTCCGTTCAAGAATTCGTGCTTGCACTCCTTTGTTAAAACCTTTCATGTTGCTTCCATTATAATAACCCTGACCTCGGCAGTCATCTATATTTATGTCGTTCTCCACAAAGAAGTTAGTTATCAAATTGGAAAGCCCTTCACCAGTTTGATCTTCTGCAACCAATAAACCAAGAAAGTACTCCTTTACTGATATACCGTTGGCAACATCTTCAACAAATTGTACGATTACAGTTATTTGGTCTTTATGGGCTACATCAGGGGTACAATCCAGGATGATTGAATAATATCTTGCCAACTTTAGATGTCTTGTCATTTCATTCTTGACTTTGTTTGACATAATCAGTATTAGCTCATTCTAAATAGTTTTGCTTAGATAATGATTGGACATACTCGTATCATTCTGCTTATACGTCTGACATGCTCAGCCATCACTTTATCAAACTTTGCTAATAGTTCAATGAGACCAAGAAAGTTGCCATTTCCGTGTACAAAAAGTTTTTCTTCACTGCCTCGGAATGCCAGGTTTTTTTTTGTTAAATGCTGAATAGTTGCAACAATTTTCTCAAAAACAGCTCTCGAATACTTTTGTTTTTGCTGAAGAATGGTTTGGTTCAGTTTGTCAATTGTCTTGTTTGAATTTAAACGAGTTTCCAGCTCCTTCCATTGTAACCAGTAAGAAGTGTGATCTGGTGATGTGTCATGTTCACTTAATCTGGCATAAATATTTTTCCAATCACGATAACCACCTTTACTAAGCTTGTCTTTTTCTGTTCCAAATAATTTACAGCAAAAACAAATGACAAAGTCCATCTTTTTGGAATAAACAAGCCAGGGTCTTGGAATTTTTTGGTCTTTTGTCAAGTTACGTTGATAGTTTGAGATACTGAACCTGCACTTGATTGTAGAATCCTTAAGAAAGTCAAAGTCCTTCAACTGTAATGCCCCCCTCACTACTGTTCTTAAACTTAAAAGATCTTCTAGCCATTCTGCTGGATCCAATGATATGTGTTGAATTTGTACATTTTGGATGATATCTGTAGTTGACTGACCTGACTCAGGCGATGCAATCACATCTGTAGTTGGCTGACTTGACTCAGACATTACTATAGCATCGATAGCTTGCTCAGATGCTCCAATTGTATCTTTAGTCTGCACAGTCATTTCAATCACTTTATCTTCTTTATAATCTAAAATAATTCCAGTCCCAGACAAAAAATCCGTTTTTTCAGCACTTTTTATAAAAAACGTACCAATCTTTTGTAATTCTGCAGCCTTTTTCTCGTTTTCTTCCTTTTTCTTTCGTTTGCTCGCACCGCTGAGTTATTTTGCACTTTCTTCATTTTCAAATTAATAATCACTAATAATGTTAGTGATTTCGCCGTTTATCCGTTTACAAAAACTTTTTTTGTGTGAATTTTAAAATCTCATTGTTATGCAGACATAGATGGAAACATGGATAAACTTGAATGTTCTCAAAACATCTTGTTGCGGGAAGATAATATTTCCTAATAAAGAATATTTCCTAACACAAAAATACCTCCAAAGCTACAAATAAATTTTACTCTTTTCAGCTAAAAAATGCTACACAGGCGCACAACTGATTCCCGAGCACGAGCAAAATGAACAGGGCAGTTTATATTTATGTTATGGACGACGCGAGAATAAATTTAAATAATTATTTTTTGAAAATTATTGCATGTTTCCGCAAAATTAAAAAAGTAATGTATTTTTTAAATTTTAATTTCTTCATTTTCAACTTTTTGGGGGCCCCTTAAACATTGGGGGCCCTAGGCGGCTGCCTTATTTGCCTTATAGTACGGTCCGGCACCGGGCAACACCATCCTATAGATATAAGTCTTGACTTTTTTTGCTTCTTTGAGGGTAGGCGTGACAATTGATTCGCGTCGAGATTTTAACACTTTGGTGTTAAAATTTTAACAGGGTGTTGTTAAATCTAAACAAATAAAAGTTAATTAATTTAATTTTTTTTTTTAATTTTGCTATTTAAAATTGTTAATAAATGTTTTTCACAATAGTTATAAGAACATTTATTAGATTTATAAAATGTTTTGTTTCGATAAGATGTAGTCTTATCCAAAGTATTTTATAAAATATTTTTTTTACTTTTATATTTACAAGTATTTAATATTTTATTAAATTTTTTTTTTACTTATTATATATTTACTATATATATACTTATTATATATACTTATTATATTTACTAGTATATTTTTTTTACTTTTTTACTTTTTTTGTACTTTTTTTTAAAAAAAGTCTCATAATATTATTTTTTTCTTTTTCTTTTGACTTTTGGCGCCCCTAATATCTTGGCGCCCGGGGTACATATTCTCTTTTACCCTACCCTCTCGGCGATCCTGGATTTGAGATATAAATTTTTTGTTGATTACATGTAAATATTTATAAACGGATCTTAATATACTTGGTTGGTTGGAAAGGTTTTCCGAAAATTAATAAATATCCTCCCCCTCTCTTTTGTATTAGGAACTCAAGAGTACCTTTCTATATTAGAAATTAAAACATTTAGTTAATAATAATAATAATTTCAAACACCTACTTTTTCTATCAATTGATTTCTAAATAGCGACAAAAAAATAAACGAGAGAAAGAACTTATGGAACCAATCACTTTTCACACTTGCTGATCATCTGTTATGTGAGTTACAGATTGTCAGATTGACTGCAAAAAATGCGCGAGCAAGCCGCTAATTTCCAAAAGCCTTTAAAAACTATCTATAATGAAGTTCTTGAAAATGCTCCGTGTCATGTCCAAATGTCCCTCACTGTTTAAAGGTTGTTCAGGTAAATTAATCTGATAAGAACAAATAAAATGTTCATTAAATGTTTAATGAAAATATTTAACAACATAAATATTTGTTGTTGTGATAAAGTAAAATGAATATCGGCTAATATTGCCTTTTTTTTTTGACAAAGAATGTAAGGCTGGTATATACTATTTTTGCTATTTTAAGTGCTTTAAAATTTAGTTTCCCAAACATAAGAATAACAGGATGTTGTTTTCATTTTGCTCAATTGGTGTTAAAGAAAATAAAAGCCTGAAAAACTAAAACTTTATAAATGTCTTCTTAATTCAGGTGAATAGACCCCTACCTAATTTTTAAATTCTTCCGCCCATCTTTTTTTAGACTCAAGAATGCCGTTTAATGAAGAAGTTCAAGAACTTGTTGAAACAGAACTTATTAACCTCACACTTTACAGACAAAATCCAATATTGATTTTATAGATCCAAGTGAGAAAAATAAGTGTAAAATTTGTTATGTAAATCGCCTAGAAGTTCTTAGTTTGCCTTATAGGCATTTTAGTCTTTGTCACCGGTGTAAAGAAATATTGTCGCTTAACAACGATAAAAGATGTCCAATCTGTAGTGCAAACATTGCCGAATTTATTTCTGTCTTTTACTAGCCTAATGCTTAGAAATAACCTTTTTATTCTTCAATGCAAGTAATAAAACAAACATATGACAACAAAAAATTTGTGTGTTTTGTTTTATTTTTAAAGATTAAAAACTTCAGTGGTGGAAACTTCAGTGGTGGAAACTTCAGTGGTGGAAACTTTAGTGGTGGAAACTTCAGTGGTGGAAACTTCAGTGGTGGAGTTCAGTAAAAAACCTCAGACCAGTTTCACGGATTGGTTACACATTCCGAAATTGGTCAATTCATAGCTACATTAGCTACATCCACCCTATCTCTATAGCTACATCCACCCTATATCCATAGAGACATCTATCCTATCTCTGCTTTTCGGATAACCTTCTTCGTTTATTGCAGATTTTTTTGAATTTACTTTTTTTATTTGGTTCTTTTCTTAAACATTAAGGGGTTGTTTTCACATATCTCCTGTTAAGCTTAACGGAGTATTTGTCGGAAATTTTATTGCATCTTTTTAAAGTGAAAGAATGTTAAAAATCTCACTCAATTACATAAAAATAGAATAAAAACTAAAATCAAACATTTATTTAAATAAATTTATATTTAAAATTATTTTTTTATTAATAAAGATAAAAAGAAGTTTTTGATTAACTCTCCGTTAAGGGTAGATGAGATTACGTTAGTTACTCTGAAGTGCCAAATACACGAGGAAAGAGAGGGGGCGGTTTATCAAACGGGGGATAGGGACTTTTTTGATAGTAATGTTAAATGGGGGGCCTTAAATTGGAAGGGGTATCTTTTAAATAATAATAAAATTGGGTTCTACTAAATATTGAATGCTCCAGTAAAAGACATAATATTAACTTAAACACAATTTTTAATTCACAATGAAAACAAAGAATACTAAATAAAATCTTTTCGTTTCAAAATAGGTTTTATTGAGTAAATTGGTCTTCAAAATGGTAAATTGAACAAACACTTCTGCTGATGATAAAGAGATGGAACAAGTTTTAATCCTTCGTTACTATCTCAATCAATATTTTCATAGTTTAGAGCAATTAATAGAAAAAAATGTAAGTGACGCCAACTGTGTTCATTTTAGATTAAAATGATTAAAACTCATGTTTTTAAATATTTTTGTAACAGGCATAAACTTCCATTTAAATGCTCATCCGTAAAGACCGTAATAAGACCGTATAGACTTATCACGCATAGACTTATAGACTTACCACATATAGACTTCTTGGTGCGCTTAAAAAAATTAAAAAAAAAAGATCCCCCTCCTCGAAGTAGCCATAGCCTCGGAGTAACCCTTGGGCAGTAATAGGGAAACATCATCGGCTTGTGTCACTTTAAATATAAAAAAACAATTAATAGCAAAGATTATTTAGTAAGTTTTCAAAAAGTTCATTTAATTTTCCTCAACTCAAATAACTAATTAAAGCTTCATAAATAAAACCAACATAAAAGATAGAAGTAATGAAAGAATAGAGGTGGCGTAGCGTTGTATATAGACGATTAAATAGATTTGTATTTACTTGAAAATGTTTGTTTTACTTACCGTAAAATTGAACCAGTTTAAGCAATAATAACTATATGCAAATCCAAATAATTAGTTTGATGTATATACAGGCAATATTATATGGTAGATATTATATATCAGGGTAATGTATTAAAAATGCTAAGGCTCATATCAGAAAATTCGGCATTTAAGAATAATGGGAGACTTTAATGTCCCAAACATTAAATAGTTTAATGGCTGATTTTATCAAGTAGAAGTAGCATTGAATACCTATTTCGAGTAACTTTGAGCAATTTTTGATTAAACATTTACAATTTACAACTTTAAGCAATTTTTGATTAAACAGTAGGTAGTCAACATTTTAATTAAACAAAAATAACTCATACAGTTTTATTAGATCTTATTTCAAAATTGCATTTTGATAATATTACTGAGCTTGAATCAAAATTCATCTTAGGCAACATAGTCAAAAGTCATTTGTTGCTTAGTTTTAAATTTATCAATTTTGAAAATGGAAGCCTGCAGCATCCAAATTATAAAATGGATTATAAAAGAGGTAACTTTGCTAATAAGTTATATATAGTATGAATTCAATTATTGTTTTAAAGACCAACCAGAACAATTAATGTAGATATATTACTGATGTTTGAACAGAACCTTGTAGTTTTTTTGCTCCAAAAATAAATGTAAATTTGAAATGCAAAAATGTTCTTGAGTTAATAGCTATTTAAAGATTTTTATTAATAGAAAGAAAACTCTTTATTGCATCATTTTTTTTGTCTGGATGGAAAGGTATAGTTAAAATAAGTACTAAATAGTATGTAAAGTAGTAAAAAAAAGTAGTGTTATTGGTTAGAAAATTATTTGAACAAAAATTAGTCAAAAATTAAAAAAAAAATTGAAAACTATCATATAAATATGTGAATTTGAAAAAACCGTGTAATACAAATAGCACCGAAGGTATTGATCAGGGATGCGGAGTCCCAAAAAGGACTCCGGATTTGAAAGTCACAAAAAGATTACTTCATCCTATTTTTTGGTATCCAAGAACTCTAAAAATATAAATAAGTTTATGGACTACTAATAGGAAAAAAATAAAGATTTTTAGGTTAGTGGAACAATCATTTTTTGAACCCGGAGTCCTTAGGTATAATGGCGGCAAGGACTCCGGGACTTTAGGACTCCGGGCTTTAAAACAATAATTTTCAAGTCATTAAATCTCATGAATCTTTT